TTATTTTAATTAAATTCATATTTACAAAGTTTGAAAATTTGAAGAAAAAAACTACACTATAGTAACTTTGAATATTGATTATTGAGTATAACTTTTTCTACCGTCCGGCATCCATCCATATATTGTTAGTGTTACTAACTGGTAATGTATTTACATATGTAAGACTTTAATGTAATTCTGGTACCAAATGTTCCGGAAACCGGAAATTTCCGGAAAGATTTTCCGGAAAATTTCCGGAACGATATTCCGGAAATTTCCGGAATTCCGTAACGATCCGTAACTCCGGAACAACGTTCCGGAAATTTCCGTTTTACGGAAAAAATCGTTCCGGAATTCCGGTTTTCCGGAACCTTTTCCATAATGGAAATGGAAAAAATTTCCGGATCATTTCCGTACGTAAACCGTAACCCGGAATTCCGGTGGAAGCCCTATTTGAGTACAGAAACCATAAATCAACGTTCAAATCGTCATTACAGTCTCATTCTTTGTGGGTAACCCTGTAGATGGATAGTTATTTAAAAACATAAATACATTGATAGATGTATGTCTATATATAATGTATATATAGAAAGAAAAATAGATAGAGACAGAGATGTCAGATTGAAAGCTAAATAGATAGAAAGGTTTGGATACGTAAAAAAACACAGTGGCAGATTCCATAGTTACCTAGATAAAGTACATTGTGCATTCTCTGTAAATCTAAATATGCTTATCAGTAAATATGCAAATCTTGTATTGCGTTTAACCTAACCTAGATATGTAAACCCAAATGTGATTAGCTAAACTACGTTTGTAAATAACGATGCAAAAATTGTGATTATGTCTATATTAAACTTAATCTGTAATGTAGAACACTCTATCCCCGTAGTAAATTTGGATTCGAACAGGACCTGCCCAGTTTGTACCGGCCTGCCAGATAACAGCATGTACTGACCCGATCCTATGGTACAGTATACGTCGCCCTAACCAGACTAACATACGACAGGGGTCAATTTTCTTGGCATAGTCCATGAGAGGGCTACCTATGACGACTCCCATGCGCATTCAGACTTTTTACAGTACCCGGCCTAATCCTAGGCCTATTTGGCCGACCCCACTGGCTTAGTCCACCGTAAGAACCCAAAAATATACTCAGTTGGAATAGACTCCACTTTGATAACTGTGCGAGAAGAATTGTTCCCAGTTTGACGTACGAGTTTATGACATCGGCCCTAGTGGTTTGGCACTGATAAATTTATAAGATTGTGCCCAGTGTTTGGCATTGATAGTCTCTAAGATCGTGCCCAGTGGTTTGGCATTGATAGTCTCTAAGATTGTGCCCAGTGGTTTGGCAATGATAGTTTATGAGATCGTGCCTAGTGTTTGGCATTGATAGTCTCTAAGATCATGCCCAGTGGTTTAGCATTTTTAGTTTATTAGATTGTGCCAATTGTTTGGCATTGATAGTCTCTAAGATCGTGTCCGTGTTTGACATGTGTTTGATAGTTTATGAGATTGTGTCCGTATTGACATTGAAAGCGAAGAGTTGTACCAGGATTGATACGAATCTGGGATACTCTTATGGAGTAAGGAATTCACTATAGATAGATGGATGGATAAAAAGATAGATATATTAATATCGATAGAAGGATAGATAGATAGATACTTCAGACAATAAAATTATTAATGTTATTTCTACAGAGACAAATCAATTGAGAAGAAGAGAGGAGAGAGGAGGGGGGAAGAGTCGGGGGGGAGGAAGGGCGCGATAAAGCGGGGGTAGGTTAATTTAGGAAGGGAAGGTAGGGGAAAGACAGATAGTTAGATAACTAGTTAGATAGATATATAGATAAATAGATAAATAGATAGATAGATAGATAGATAGATAGATAGATAGATAGATAGATAGATAGAAATATAAATGAGAGTAGAACTAGACTAAAGATATTTCATATTTGACCATTTGATTAGAAAACTTTAGACTGAAGAAAACTTTGCTTACAGATGTTTATTTACAAACAATATAGTTCGTCTGCCAGTTAGTGAGTTATTTTTTTCGACAGATAAACTAATTTTTTTCATAATTCTCCGTAGAACAAGGTATGGTTTCTGTTTTTTGGAACTAATATACATAACTGTGCAGAACTTGAAAAAACATTTGATTTTGAGAAAACATTTTTAAAATTTTTACAGAAAAATGATTTACTCAAGAAAAATAAAAAAGGATTTAATATTTGTCTGAAAAAAATTACAAAAAATACAAACATAAAGGGAAATAATCAGTTACATTTTTTGTATAGATATTCATATATATATATATAATAACTGTTTAATATATAACCCGCAAACATGGGCCTCTTCTACTATACCATATTTAAAAATATAGCAGAGTGTATCGTGTAGAGTTCTTATTTCAAAACTTAACCTTTCACCTCATTTATTAATCACTTGCATTTAACCCTATTCCTGCTGTGGGGGGGGGGGGTCAAATTGACCCTCCCAGAGTATCCTGGTTTTCAAGTACCCCAGCAGGGATAGGGTTAAAGGTTTTTAAAGAATGATTGTTGGATCTTAAATGCTAAGACATTATGAGGTATGGTAGAAAATCGAAAATGCACCCCTCTTTGAAAATACGTTTACAGTCCCTTTAAGACTTCCCCCCCCATTCCCTCTTTTCTAACTTCCGATTGATTTAAAAAGTTTAGTTTGTCCATAAATCTTTGCATCAGCAGTAGCACGTCCAGGCTACTTTATTAGACATATTTATAGTATTCTATATATATAATATATATAGAGATATTTCTCCGCTCCTTACNATATATTGTATAGTATATGAATAGTATCACCTTGTATATAATTATATATATTGTATAGTATATGAATAGTATCACCCTGTATATAATTATATATATTGTATAGTATATGAATAGTATCACCTTGTATATAATTATATATATTGTATAGTATATGAATAGTATCACCCTGTATATAATTATATATATTGTATAGTATATGAATAGTATCACCTTGTATATAATTATATATATTGTATAGTATATGAATAGTATCACCCTGTATATAATTATATATATTGTATAGTATATGAATAGTATCACCTTGTATATAATTATATATATTGTATAGTATATGAATAGTATCACCCTGTATATAATTATATATATTGTATAGTATATGAATAGTATCACCTTGTATATAATTATATATATTGTATAGTATATGAATAGTATCACCCTGTATATAATTATATATATTGTATAGTATATGAATAGTATCACCTTGTATATAATTATATATATTGTATAGTATATGAATAGTATCACCCTGTATATAATTATATATATTGAATAGTATATGAATAGTATCACCCTGTATATAATTATATATATTGTATAGTATATGAATAGTATCACCCTGTATAACTTAGCCTAAGAATAAAGTAAATTAAAATCTTAAGTGTTTTTATCCATAACTCCTCTTATTGAAGAGCGCTTGAAAAAAAAACTAAATTTTCGTAGATTTTTTTTATACGAATCAAATACATATTTTTTTTCTAATACTTGTACATTCAAAGGATTCCCAGTTTCGTTCAAAATGCTGAACAGATTGTTAGGAATATCTAACTAATGTTTAGATCCCTGTTCATACATTTAACAAAATGAATGTTATTTCAAAATGTTCTAAATTTTTATAAAAAAATATTAGGGTTTAATTTATCTGAATCTTCCCTTACTCATTACCCATGCCTAGCATTTTACCTGAATCTCCCTGTATACCCATGCCTAGGGTTTATTTTATCAGAATCTCCCTGTATACCCATGCCTAGTATTTTACATAGATAAAGATAGATTGCGCATAAGACGACATTTTTTATCTTGAAAGATATAAATGTACAGAGATATTCCTATTATGTAGATTAACTAGGTCGGTTGTGAACATTGGCTGTTCTTATGTCATAGAGTACTTGTGGTGTACATGAGTTCTTTAGAGACACGCCAGATGAATTTGGATTAAAAGGCCCATCGGAACTCCGGGGAGGGAAATAAATTCAGTCCGGATAATTCCTTTCCGTTCGGCCGCAAATACACACAACAGAGTAACCCCGTCTCAAGAAAATCGATAACAAAAGCTTTATTTCCTAAAAAATAACATAAATTATAGATCATGGTTACTTGTACAATGTTATTATAAATATTAATTATAGAAAAAATCTTACGATCTATTTTGGTATGGTACAGGGAAACTTATTGTTGATCAGTATTGAAATATGTTTTTAAACTTCTGAAAAAATTACAGTTGAATATTTAACGAAATTCACTAATTCTTCATATGAAAATATTCTTGCTTAACTTTAATGATTTCACAATAACAAAAATGTTTTAAAGCTCCGTGGGGCGGAGAACAAAGGGAATGCGGGCTGACATTATTTGGTTTGGTTTGTCTCTGAGAGGAGATTTTAAGTTGAAGACGACATTTCTCAGAGGTTTTAAGATTAATGGTTAACACTGGCCCCAGGCAGGGTTTGAGGATGTTTGGATATCATACGAAAATTAAAGCATAACCATTAACAATATAAGAAACATGTAGTTTGATTGATTGATAGATATTAGATTGACTGATTGAAATAAACAGATACATTAATTAATACTGAGTTTAACAGGTGGACAATTGATGAGATTAGAACAATGTAGTAAATGACTTCATGTTGTAGATGTTTTTGTAATTTGATTGCCAGGATAATATTTTGTAAAATATAAGAATTAACCGCAAACTGAAAATGAACTAGAATGAAGAGTTAAACTGCAAGGGTTAATTAGAACAGAAATGTCATTGATGAACCAATAAATGAACTTAAGAGATTATATCAAAATTAATACTCTTCAATTTAAATGTTTTGTATTCAATATCTTTCTTTTGTAAAATAATTTGTTTTATTTAGAAGAAAAGAGAAGGAAATTAAACCGTTTAAATAGTTAATTCCTGTGGTGAAGCTTGGAGTGATTCTATTGATTGATTGCATTGAGCTCTGGGAGGAATTCGTCCTGTGCAGGCTCCAGCCTGGAGCTCGGGGCTAGATTCCTTGCTTCTGTGGAGTCCGAGGTTAAGGTGGGCACGATTTCCTGAGGACACTGAGCTTCTAGGTTCATGAATGGGTACAGTTGGTTGAGTTGTCTGTCCACTACGATTTTTCGTCCACCTACTTTACGACGATAGCTGATGGTGGCTCCGTAGACGTCACCGTTCTTTCTACAGAGGAGCTGCTCTACTCTGGCAGCTGAGATTGGGTTCTTGTATATGGGTTCATTCTTGAACAGGACTATATCTCCAACCTGAGGGAGGTTGCCCTGGTCCTTGGTTGATGGATGCTGTAGGTTTGACCTCGTCTCCGAAACACTCTCGAAACCCTTGGAGAACGTGGTTGGGAGTGAGGGTGATGCCAAGCAGTGCTCCGAGGATCAGTGGTCTGTTGTAAGTTTTTCAATGACTCCATGCGTCCAGGTAAGCAGTTCCTTGTCGTCCATGACCAACTCGTGCGGTCCTGTGAGGGATTTGCTGACAGTGTTCTTGATGGAACCAATTATTCTTTCAACAGTTCCGATCCCGGCATGGTGTTTGGGTAGAGTGACTCTGAATTCAATGGAGGTGAATTTCAAATTGAGGTTGGAGATGACCTTCATCTCAGTGTTGACCAGGTCTTTGCCAGCCTTGACAATGTTCAATCCAGCATCAATCCAGATGATGCGAGGGGTGCCTCTCAGGGGGAAGGTTCTATTAAAACCTCTGGTGATACTCTGGGCGCTGTAGTTGTGCAGGATTTCTAGGTGCACCCCGCGACTGGAAAGACAGAGGATTACCAGGATCCACCTCTTGGTCTTGGTGCCGTCTTTGTGCGCAAAGACGGGTCCGAATATGTCAGCTTGGCAGTAGGAGAAAGGAGGTTGGATGGATTTGAGGACGTCAGGGACATCAGCTTCAAATGCTGCGAATGGAATCTTGTTCAGCTTGATACATCCAGGGCAAGATTTCTTCAGAGCAGTGATCATTTTACGAACTCCAGGGATGAAGAAATTGGTCTGAATGTGAGTAAGTACCTGAAGGACATCCCTACCGTGACCCAGATCAGCGTGAGCATCGTTCAGGATGCATTTGGCAAGAATAGTCTTCTTGCAGATAAGAGGAACCCTGTTCCTGGAACGGAAACTGCGGTCTGACACGTAATATACTCCGTCCACCAGCTGGATGACGAGGTGTTTCAACTTGTTGTTGGCAATGATGAGAGCCGACTCCGTGGTAAAACACTTGAGGATTGAGGACCTGATGGAAGACTTAATAGAACTCCAGGTAGCAGTAGGTTCTTCTTGGATAATTCTGTTCCGGTTGGGGTCATTTCTCCAGGTTCTGCAAACCTTGTGGAGGAGGTTTAGAGCCTGGAGAACTGTGGAGAGGCTTTGTTCGTGATGTAGAAGACTCAGAATATATTCCTGGGAAGGATTATCTGGGGAAAATTTTGCCAGGTTGACCGACCTAGTAGGAATATCACCTGAGGTGATGGAAGAACAAGGGACGATGGGCCAAGAGGATTTGTCCTGAGGTAAGAAACTACCATTCAACCAGAATTTTGAGTTGACCTGCACGCAGCTGGTTCCAGATCGGGTGAGCAGGTCAGCTGGGTTGAGGTTTCCAGGACACCAGAACCAATTATTGGGTGGAGACAGGGCTAGTATTTCCATCAGTCTGACTCCATAAAACACAGGGTTTGCAGCTGGATCATTTTTGGCGATCATTCTCAAAACGATCTCTGAGTCTCCAATGAATTTAAGGGGAGAGGGAGACGTTGAACAACTCCTGCTTGATCTTTTGCTCCATCCTGGAGGCGAGTAAGGCTCCTGCCATTTCAGATTGTGGGGCGGAGAATGCAGATTTTCCTAATATCTTTGAAGAGCTGGAGATGAGGTTGAACTGATCGCCAGAGTGAGCATATATACAAGCTCCATAGCCTTGCAGGGAGCTGTCGAAAAAAATGAACAGTTGAGCCTGGTATCTAAATATGACCTGTCTGGGGAAAAATATTTCCCTAGTTTGTAAGATCTCTCTCACCGCATCTCTGAACTTAGCAGTGCGTTCCTTGGATAGGACAGAGTTGATGGAACACTGAGGATCGCGGCAGATCTCACTAAACAGTGCTCGGATAGTGAACATGAGGGGGGCAGCCAATCCAGAGGGATCGTAGAACTGACACGCAACAGATAGAACGTTTTTCTTGGTAACAGGAATGGATTCGTCTTGTAAGAAATCCGAGTCTAAATCTGCACCAGACGGGATCCCACGGGACTTCTTATGGAGGTTGAGGCGGAATTTCAGGCTGTATAAGTCTTTGAGTCTATCCCATTTCATACCTAGGTACTTGCTGGTTCCATTCTCACCAGATTTCTCCCAGGATTTAATAAAGAATCCCCCTCTGTTGAGGATTCTTTCTATTTCTTGTTGCAGTGTAGAGAGGTTGCTTGGAGAGTCGGCTCCTACGCCCCTGTCATCAATATATGTGTCCTCCAAGACAGCTTGTAGGATTGCAGGTCAGAGGTGGGGGGGGGGAGTCCTCGATGAATGTCTTGACAGTTGCAACTTTCGCACAAGTTGCATAATCACCGGATGCACTGTCGCCGAAAGGGATCGCCTGATCTCGGAAATATCTCCAGGTAGGGTTAGGAGTAGGGGTACTGGAAAAGAAACCTGATGGAACACACACTATCCTGAGGAAGGAGTCCTTGGTGGAAGTGAGCAAGGACCTGAAGAACTTCTGAATGTCGTAAACTGCAAAGTGAGGGTGACATCTGGAGTGCAACAAGATCCCTCTCATGTTGGGAACATTTCCTGGAGCCGGCTGGGAGACGTCGTTGAGGCTGAGACCGGTCTCAGTTCGCATGGAGCTGTCCGTGGTCATTCGAACCTTGGTAGATGAGCTGGTGGAAGACACAACAAAATTGTAGGCTACGAAATGGAGTTGGTGCTGATCCCTGTGATCTTCAGGGTTAATCTCGATATAATTCCCATTATTGATTTGTTGATTGATGTACTTATCCATCTCTGCCACAATTTCAGGTTTGTCGGCGATTCTGGCATGTAGGGCGTGGATTCTCTTTGTCGCACCAAAATGGGACGGTGAAAGAGAAGGCGGATCCATTGTTCAGGTTCTCCTCTATAGTGGACAACTTCAGAGTTTTGCCTTGGATTCTCAGTTTAACGGTGGTGGTGAGTACAACTTTGCCTTTGCCAGCATAGGTCATTATCTTTACTTGAGATGAACTCCCAAGGGAGTACATTGTTTGAGGGATGGTTGAGAGGGCTGACTTGGAGATGAGGCTAAGTTGACAACCTGTGTCATATTGGATTCCTATGGGAGTGTTGCCTAGGAGTATGGTCTCCACCAGGGGAACTGACTTGTCGGTACTGACCTTGGAGACGGAGATGAATGGAGCCTGGTTGTTGTGCATGCAGGCACGCCTATGCACAGGAATCCCCTTCTCCGAGCAACCCTTGGGACACGCTTTGGGGGTGCCGTTGTAGAAATTGGTCTTGCACTTGTAGCTCTTCCCATGGGCTTGGACACATGTGAAACAGAGATGATTGTCAGCGCTCAATTTGAGGATCTCAGGAGAACTCAGCTTGCCGGCGCCGCAGAATTTGGAGAGGGAGAAATGGTTGTCCTCAAATCCCATGACTGTACACAAGGCGCAGGGCTTCGGAGGGCTAATTTGCTGGAGGTTAGGAGGACGCGGAGGCTGAGGTTTGGGTTTGGAGGCTTCTTGTCTAACTACATTGATCCCTACATTCGATGGGGAGAGGTCGAGGTCGTAGAGAAAAGGGGTGGACCGATAATTCTTCTCTAATTCTTCCACGAACTGTGCGAGGAACCCAAAGGTAGCTGGAGGTCGGACATTGGCTGGACATTGTTTACGGAACTTGGAGAACTGATCGTTGAAGGATGGTCTCACCTCTGATGGCAGGCTCTTCATGATGTTTTGCACCAGTTGCTGGGTGAGGGCAACGCTGTGAAGATCTTCCTTGTTGGTGGGTGTGAGGCAGATTGTGCATCCTGCCAATCTGCAGGGAGAATTTCTTGTACATCTTTGTACCTCCTGATGAGGGGTTTCAGGAGGAATGTTGTTGAGAGGATCCTTGTGGAGAGGAGTAGTTGGATTCATTTCGAGGTTGTTTTGTATATCCGCCAGGGAGGTTAGATCAAAATGTTGACAGATAACAGCGACACGCCAGATGAATTTGGATTAAAAGGCCCGTCGGAACTCCTGGGAGGGAAATAAATTCAGTCCAGATAATTCCTTTCCATTCTGCCGCAAATACACACAACAGAGTAACCCCGTCTCAAGAAAATCGATAACAAAAGCTTTATTTCCTAAAAAATAACATAAATTATAGATCATGGTTACTTGTACAATGTTATTATAAATATTAATAATAGAAAAAATCTTACGATCTATTTTGGTATGGTACAGGGAAACTTATTGTTGATCAGTATTGAAATACGTTTTTAACTTCTGAAAAAATTACAGTTGAATATTTAACGAAATTCACTAATTCTTCATATGAAAATATTCGTGCTTAACTTTAATGATTTCACAATAACGAAAATGTTTTAAAGCTCCGTGGGGCGGAGAACAAAGGGAATGCGGGCTGACATTATTTGGTTTGGTTTGTCTCCGAGAGGAGATTTTAAGTTGAAGACGACATTTCTCAGAGGTTTTAAGATTAATGGTTAACAATTATATATTGCTAAGTGAAATATTGTTGTTCAAATAGTTCCATTCCCGGAGTTATTTTACACTCTATTATAAAATCCATTAAAACACCAAACCACCCCGCTTATCATTGAAGTACACTTTGACCCCTAGAAGTATGAGTTCTCGGACTGTACAATTCTTGGTGATTTTGCATACATAAGCTATCTATGTTTATTTATTTATCTATGGTATTTTACCAGAATCTCCCATAAAACCCCTGCCTAGTACTAGAATATATTAGGGTTTATTTTACCAGAATCTCCCTGTATACCCATGCCTAGTATTTTACCAGAATCTCCCTGTATACCCCTGCCTAATACTAGAATCTCCCTGTATACCCCTGCCTAGGGTTTATTTTATCAGAATCTCCCTGTATACCCATGCCTAGTATTTTACCAGAATCTCCCTGTATACCCCTGCGCGTGTAGTACTAGAATCTCCCTGTATACCCCTGCCTAGGGTTTATTTTATCAGAATCCCCCGTATACCCATGCCTAGTATTTTACCAGAATCTCCCTGTATACCCCTGCCTAGTACTAGAATCTCCCTGTATACCCCTGCCTAGTACTAGAATCTCCCTGTATACCCTGCCTAGTTCTAGAATCTCCCTGTATACCCCTGCCTAGTAGTAGAATCTCCCTGTATACCCCTGCCTAGTACTAGAATCTCCCTGTATACCCCTGCCTAGTATTAGAATCTCCCTGTATACCCCTGCCTAGTACTAGAATCTCCCTGTATACCCCTGCCTGCCTAGTACTAAAATCTCCCTGTATATCTCTGCCTAGTACTAGAATCTTCCTGTATACCCCTGCCTAGTACTAGAATCTCCCTGTATACCCCTGCCTAGTAATATAATCTCCCTGTATACCCCTGCCTAGTAATAGAATCTCCCTGTATACCCCTGCCTAGTACTAGAATCTCCCTGTATACCCCTGCCTAGTACTAGAATCTCCCTGTATACCCTGCCTAGTACTAGAATCTCCCTGTATACCCCTGCCTAGTACTAGAGTCTCCCTGTATATCTCTGCCTAGTTCTAGAATCTCCCTGTATACCCCTGCCTAGTACTAGAATAAAAATATGATGACAAAAATGTTATCAAGTGCCAAATATAAGTGATTCACAAGGTACTTCAGCCAAGAGGATAGATAGATAGATAGTTGGAAGATTATATTGGTAGCCAGTAAACAAACAGATAGATGAAGTTTCGCGAAGTTTCCGGTTTTATTGATATATTTTAAAATCAAATTTTTATATTATATCTAGGGTACTTTGTGGCTTTCAACATTTTGTGTCTCTACCATTTTATACACCTTTAAGAGGTGATAATATAGAGCACACACTAAATTTAAATTTTTTCTTCAGAATTTAAGAATTTATAATATTGTGTAATCATATCAAGTCCTGAAATGAAGATAAATTTATGAAAGACCTAATTATGATAAATTGGTAGAGATGTATAAATGTATAAATCTAGTACTCAGTAGTAGATCGTGTCATGTTAAACCAGCTTTTAATCCTAGTGATGTATGTTTACACTGAATACCATACCATACCATAGAGAATAGAATATATATTAGAGGGGAATTTAAAGAATCTCTCGGTATGAATTTTTTCAGTCCCTTTCAGCCTGAAAGGGAGTTCAAAGTGTACAAATTATGTAAATGTTCACAAATTATATGCAGTAGAGTACATTAATACAGTATGTTCCCTAGACTATTCATTTCGATTTCGAATTTTTTAAACTGTTAAATAAACTTTATAATGAATTAGGTGAATAAAAACATCATTTAATTTATAGTTATAACGGAAAATTATAGTTTGTAAAGTGGAAGGCATAGAGTCTTTGTGAAATGATCATTGGTCAATTATGAAACCAGCCTATTTCATAATTTGGTTTTCTTTTAACAATATTTTTAGATTTTCTATAAAATGATATTCCAGGGCCCAAAAGGTTATATAGCATAAATATGTGAAGTACACCTGCAGA